GATGTGCTAAACAAACGCTAGGGATGACATTGAGGGGAAAAAAAAAAAACAAAATAATTCTGTGCATCGTTGCAATTTTAGAAAACATGAATTCCGGTATTCGATTTTCATGCAGGGGTTAGACTTAAGGTAGCAAAAATCTGGAAAATAATTTGCCCTACAATCGAGTAAGTACAGTGCGCTGCGGGTCTCATAGTACGCAAGGAGTTTGCAGTGGAGCAAGCTGCCTTGCAGATCGCCCAGTTTTCTGGCCGTTAGCATTCAGCATTTGCACAATGGATACAGTAAATGTTCCAGTATGTATTAAATGCTGTGTATGATATCTGTTGAATGGGTGATCTCCTTGAGTATGTCGTGGCTTCAAAAGCAGCAAGATTGAAACAAAAGAAATAAGCATGAAGGAAGGATGTAGCTAATTGGAAACAACTGGACATAATGTTTTCAAATGCAGCGGCTTAGTAAATGTACAAGCTTGGGCAACTAGCAAGCTTGGTAATTAGTTGCAGCTAATTACATATTCTATGCTAACAGAAAAAGTAGTTGCCAGCAAAACGTTATTGTTCCCGCTGTTGTATCAATTTTGTTTTTTTTTTTTTGTAAAGTTTGCTTGCCACAAGTTTGCAAGCACAGATGTGCATGAGACAGTGCGTCATGGACATTATGAATGCGATATTTGGTCATCAAGTTGTTCGCGGTATTGGTGGCAAAGAGCTCTGCCATTGCAGCATGCTGCGTGCATTTTGTAATAAGAGTGTTGGAATTTTTGACAGAATGGCTCAGGCCACGCCGCGGTGGTCTAGTGGCTAAGGTGCTCGGCTGCTGACCCACAGGTCGTGGGATCGAATCCCGGCTGCATTTCCGATGGAGGCGGAAATGTTGTAGGCCCGTGTGCTCAGATTTGGGTGCACGTTAAAGAACCCCAGGTGGTCGAAATTTCCAGGGCCCTCCACTACGATGTCTCTCATAATCATATGGTGGTTTTGGGACGTTAAACCCCACATATCAATCAATCAATCAATCAATCATGATCAATCAGAATGGCTCAGTGATCTCCTGCTACAAGTACATTGTGGTGTTCTTGTGATACTTTCAAAATATGTTCTCTAAGCTGTGTCGCACTGCTGGGTTATGGCTAGTGCTAATCGAGCAAATCTTGTGGGAGCTGTAAGATGCAAAGTGGGGCCGGTAGTAAATTTTTAGTGTTTGGAGCGATTTTTCATCTTTGTTGAAAGATTGCTGAAGAGGTTAGGGTGAATCTGCATGTCCACCGGAAGGTGGCGAGTGTCACAACCATAAGCGTTGCCCACATGGTGCCATGCGATACGTCACTCGTTGAGGTTTCCCATGCCACTGCAGCTTTTTCGCACCAAGAAATGGTAGAGGCCCTGCAACACTTTTCAGAGTGACCATTGAATGGCTTCGCTAGAGGAGTACGAATCGACCACCACGAAAATTTTTATGATCTGTCAAGCACAAGCGCATTTATCGACATTTGTCGCACGCTGTAAGTACTCTTTTCTCTCGTCGGGACGAGTGCTCTTGAAGCTAAGCAGGGAGGAATGGCATGGGTGAAAGAATTCACGTCATATACGCGTCATGAACCTGAGCACAGTTCCTTTTTTGTTTGTCTTTAACGTGCGACTAACCTTAGGCGAGATGAGGAGCATGCGTCTGGGCAAGTGGCGGCTTCCTGCAGCAAGCTATGCAGCCCCTGATGCTCAAGTCTGCAAATGGTTGCGAATTTTGGTGTATTTCAGTACAGGGCACCATGTGTAGCAAAAAGAGGGAGCGATTTGTGGTGGACTTTGAGAACTAGTTATAAATGCCGGCCACGTGCTGCGCTATAAAGTTTGACCTGCACATTATCAAAGGTCTTCCACTGCTGATTGGCACCATTTCCTGTCCATGATGAAAAAGTGTTGTAGAATTAAGGACTCTGGAGCAGTGGCATCATGAACTAGTGCTCCCAATGTAGGGAAACTCTATGAGACCTGAATAGACCATACGTTTGTATATTAGCACTGCTATGAAGACGGTATCAAAATGAACATCGAATCTAAACATTCATAACCTTTCCAACAAAGAACGCGCAGTTGATATCTCCACTGTGAAACGAGTGTACAAAGTAACACCTGCATCGGTGTGGCAGCGATACCAGTGGCATCTACAAATCATTTGTTTATCTTTTTACAGACTCTGTACAAGTAAATGACCTTCCGGCATACCAATGGATGTGATGCATGCAGGATTGCCTTTCACCATGGTGTTGAAAGGCATGGCTTAAACTGTGGAGCTGCCGTTTTTGTACACCATATGCACTGCACGTCTTTGGAATTTTCAGACCAACACATACGTCCATGTTATATATTTGTTCAGCATTGAATAAAGATATTTTGTGTTCAGTAACAGGCGCCAGATACTCATCTACTAATGGGCAACCTGACCTGCAAAGTGCTGAAGTAAAACTAGGCTTGTGTCAATAGCAAATTTCAGGTTCGAGGAGAATTCTAGGTAAATAGTGATTTCATCGAATAATTTCAAATCGAGCTCGAATAATAAACGTAAAATGTTAAAAGTGAAATGAGCATTTTTGCCATGACCTAATTAACCTGCACAGTATTTTTAATTGAAACAAGGCATGTCCAATTCATTGTTTTTGTTCAAAGGAAGTGGAAGCAACTTTGAGCAGTAGCAGGACTTGACTTTTGCTATAATGCTAGTGATAATTAGTAAAATATGCTGCGTTTCAAAATTTACCATACTTTGTATAAGCCAGTAAATCAAGGCTTTAAAATTTAAAAAATGATGAATCGATGGGATGGCAATGCTGAGTTCATTTAACCTTGAAATGGGACTTGCGGCAGTGCAGATTTTCTTTGACAAGGTGCATTTGTAATACAGCACCTATCTGCTGCAGTGAACAAACCTTTACAGAGCATTACATGCAAACTAATCAACCTGTTTGTTAAGTTAGACTTAGAAATTTTGTATAATTTTACTTAATTTTGAAGCATATTTCAATTTTATAATATTTGAACAAAATAATGTAATGCATATGTACCAGCGATTCGTTGTTCAATGAAATAGACCAGGCATGTGGCTGCTGTGCCTGAAATGCTAGTCTAGGAGACCAGCTGAATTCTTATGCAATATTTTTATGTGCTTGCATATCCACTGTGCAAGTGTGTTTATGCCGAAACTACACCTTAGTCTTTGTACCCAAATGTATGTGGTTCCTTTCGGGGTGGTATTGTCAGGCGCAATCACTTTTGGCAATACTTGAGACGAGCCTTCTATGCGTTGATGCCTGCAATGAATAATGTGCGTGGCCCACTGCAGTGGCATGATTAGCACAGTGTAGAGCTACTGTGCTAGCTTTTTCTTAATTGTGACTTTGAAATCCACATAATATAAAACTTCGCAAACAGTCGTTTGGTCCCATAGCCCAACTGGTAGTAGCGAGACCAATCATGACATGCCTACATAATTGCGCAAGTGATTGCAACAGTGACAAAGGACAACAAGTTAGATACAAATGTTTAAAAAACACATAATTCAATTCAACAGGAAATAAGAGCAGACGAAATAACCTATTATACACTTAAAAACTGTACATCAATAGCTTTATGGCCATAGAAAAATAATTCACCCTCTTTCACATCAGTCCGTATGGCATTCCAATTCTATGGTCTTCAAACAGACATTTCTGGCAACTGGTTAATTAAAGCAGTTTTCACGCTAGCCTTGCGAATTATTGAAGTAAAATATGCCCAATTAGTATTGTCCAAGGCTGCGGCTCCTCTTACCTTTGTGCCGAGTTCACGAATTAATAAGCATCTCTGATCAGTGTGCACTGAAGGTTTTTTTTTTGCTGGGCCTGCAAAAGTTCAGTTGGTTTTACGAGGTTCCAGTAGGGCTCTCTGCACAAGAGAATCATTAGATTTTACGAAGAATTGCTCGCAATTTGCACTTGTTTCAGCAGCTAAAACCATAAATTCTTGGACATTGCCAACGGAGCCCGTCACACTTTCGGTTGGCTATACCACATCGCTCTTTCCTAGCCCATGCTTGATTTAAAGTTACTAATTGTAGTCAGGTCTTAGATAAAACGTTCATGCTTTATTTAGGACAAACATCCCCTTCTAATAAAAGATGGTCACTTCACTATTGCCCAGCATGTTTGATTTATTCCGATTATTTTTCAGAACCCTATGCTATCGCTACAACTTCCAACAGACTTTCCGAAGCAAATAGTTAAAAAAACGCTAGGCCTGCGCGGATCGCGCAGTACAGTCACAGTGAAAGCTGGAAGAGCAGCCTTTGGAGAGCCTTTTTTTAAACATTCTTGGGACAACTACTATAAGCACACTTGCATGGCACCCACTATGCCATAAATCAATTTTCATGTACTGGGGAAGCACCCACAACGCCATTAATCATCACTTTTCAGAAAAGCGTGGAACTCACTACCTGTTCAGATTCCAAATGTGTCCAGATTTTTTTTTTTTTCTTTTAAACGAAGTAGTTTGCAGACACCAGTGGCGACAGACAACCAGCGCCAAAATCAGCCCTAGTTGTGATCTCTTGATAGCTTTCACTAAAGAAAAACATAGGCTTTGGCATGAAGTGGTATTCTCAAGTGATCACTTTGGGATATACTTCACAGACAAGCATCATCCAACCATCAAGAGATCTTAGTTTTGCATAAATAAGCTATAGGTCTTCCATCGGACTTTTGAAAGCACAGTGCCTCGAATGCATCCCCAGCAAACAGATTCAACACCTAGAAATGGTTCTCTCAATGCTGCTGTTCCTTGCTTTTAACGGCAGTCTGCAAGCATTACCAATTAAGCACGACTAGCATACTCCTTGCTGTGCCAACCTACTAACTTACGCAAAACTTGAACTGAACAAGCAAAACTCCTCGATTTTTAAGAGGAAATAGAGCACCTTTGCTAAGCAGATTTTTTCTGCAGCACAGCAAAACAATGGAGCAGCAGTGGGGTTTCACTAGGGATTTTATTTCAGAGACTTTTCCGAGACAACACAGAGGAGGGCACACTACGGGGCGGTAGTGACGAGAGGGAGAACTTTTAAAGTAGCTGTTGAAGACACAGGACTGTTAAAGGCCAAATCGGGAGGGGAGGGTAAAGCAGCAGCGATGCTGGCTGGCAGTACGACGGCTGGCAGCAGCCTAGCAGTGGAACATTCTTGGCAGAAAGTCCGCTGGCTTGCCATCCTCTGCTTGTGGCTTTTTTAGGCCCTGGACTTCATGTACTTGATCAGATCAACCACACGGTTGCTGTAGCCGTACTCGTTGTCATACCTGGAAAACACAAGATCAATGGCTCTTGCCATTAGCCAAGACTTGCACTAAGATTCACGCCTAGCGACACGAAGCTGCCTTCCTTGCATTACCAAACACTCAGAATGGCTACATTCTTTAGTGGCTTATACATGACAAAATGCAGTATCTCTCGTAGATAAGCTACTGCACTCATTCCACGATCAAAACCTGAGCTGGTAAAATTAAACGTTAAAACTGCAAAACTGATGGCTTTGGTTATTAGCACGGTAGGCCTATAGCATTTTTGTAAGAATTAAATATTCATAAATGACCTAGATCATGCTATGAAAAAAATTGAGGATAGTTGGCAGATCAACAGGTGCCAGTTTGTATTTCGCCAATGCCGCGCTCCCCGCACCACCCCCTTCCCAAAGAGAAGGGTGACTAACCATGCAACGAGCTTGACAAAGGTCTTGGAGAGGGCGATGCCCGCCTTGGCATCAAAGGTGCAGCTGTGGGTGTCTCCGAGGAAGTCAGTCGACACAACCTGCAATGAAAGATTCCACATTGCAGAGATGACCACAGTATGATAGTTATAATCAAGACGCGATAGCTTATAAGGTCAAGACACTGTAAAGGTAAACTTGAAGATAAAGTCCAAGTTAAATGCAAAGCTCAGCTGGAGACTCGAGCTGCAATACAATTTGACATTTATGTGTTTTGTACTATGTGCCACGTAATTGCCACATAGTTCTCTTAATTCACCCCACAATTCATATTTAATACAAAAATAAGGATCCGCAGTACGACACATTTTTTGGGATAAATGCCTAACTACTCAACGACTGTTCAGAACTGCTCTCTAGCAGCACGACAACTCCATGGGGAGGAGTCGATAGAGCTTTGGTGTTTTGATGGTGTCAAGAATGACAAGATGAAGAAAAGAGGAAGAGAAAGAAGTTGTATTGAATAGGTAATTTAACATGCTGGAACGAGGAAGAAAAAGAGACGAGGGCGCGAGGCGAGTGAGGAACGCGAGAGCCGGGACGTGGCGTTCGAGGGGCCAAGGGCTGCGGAAGTTCGGACTGGGTCTCGCTCCAGGCTCCCGCCCGAGCACCTGACTCGGCGAGCAGCGCAAGGAAGTACCGCTGCCCCTGGACGGCAATGGTTCTCGCCCAAGCACCTGACTCGGCGAGCAGCGCACGGAGCAACCGCTGATCCTGGACGGCAGTTTCCCGCCCGAGCACCTGACTCGGCGAGCAGCTCACAGAGCAACCGCGGATTTTGGGCTGCAGTTTCCCGCCCGAGCACCGACCTCGGCGAACAGCCACGGAACCACCGCCGACCCTGGTCTGCAGTGTATCCCGCCCGAGCACCTGCCTCGGCGAGAAACCACTGGAGCTAGCTCTGTAGTGGGTCTTCAACATTGTCGCCACCGCTGAGCATCGATATGGCGTGTCATCACGCCTGAGAGGGACTCCCAGCGGACCAGAGGCCACGCCACAACTGTAAGCACGAGACTTGGAGAACGCCAACGGAACTGGACGTTGGAACGCGCGTCATTAAGACATCTCCTTTTTCTGTGTTTTTTAACGTGTGCGTATTTGTGTTGTTTCGTTTTTGTGATTGTCATGGTAATGAAGCGAGTTCATTTCGTACCATCAGCCTCTATAGTTCATTTCGCAACGCCCGACGAGCGAACCAGGCCTCAGCATATACGAGTGACAGATGGCCATCGACTGAATGGCCTTTTGAAAGGGCACCTGCGGCACTGATATAAACCTGCCAAGACTTGTTTAGTATACCTTTAGCAGTACTGCTCTTTTTCAGCAATCACTAGCAGTACTTGTATTCCTCACAACCTATAGACTCCTCCATGATAGTGCTCCGGTCTGTTCGATAGTCCTACAGCGGCGGTAGGATCGAGGCTTAAGCACACAGTGCACCTTTATGCGAACTAGCTACCGTCTACATCTGATCAGTTGCTTCAGATTCAACATGGCTGTCGGCTGTATGCGCTATGGATTCATATTGGGCATGTGCAAATAGTGAATTTTAGATTCGAAGCGAAGTCTAAGTGAACAGCGATTGGATCGAATTTGGAGCAGAATCAGAATACTGTTTTTTTCAGACTTGTTGGATATTTCGGACTTCAAAATTGCACCGTCAGGGTTTCCATACGGCTAATGCAATTTTTCGACCAATTTTACGGATGAATTCGCCCTCGAAAGTTGGATTTTTCGGACTAAATCGCTTGTTTTGAGTTCCGCCACAAACCTGTATGGGCGCCACCATGTTGGATTTTCTACCGGCTTGACCAAACTTATAGGCCTAATTTTAAATTGCTTTCGTGCCATCAAGATTGGAAAGCAAACGTCATATTTCAGGTTTCGGAGGCCATGTCTGCTTTAGAAAACGCGGCACGGGACAATTTTTTCGTCTTCAGTCAGCCGTAGTGGTCATCACTGTCGTCATCGCACCGTACAGGGAGGAGGCGGAGCTGCGCAGTAGTGAAGTGAATGTGCCTGCCACAATGACAAGAGGGAGTTTCAGAATAGCGCACCGCGAGCCCTTGCGGTGCGATCGCTGCCACTGCCCATGCGTCGTAACGCGAGTCGCCGTTCGCGGCCCGCAATGCTTGCAAAGGCTATTCTAAAACTCGACTTCGCTCGCGCGGACGATGACAATTTCGTGCGCGGAGCCCACAGACAAAGAAATTCTCCAGGTTATGCCGCAACCGGAGAGCAGCTCGAATGACGACGACGATCGCCCGCAGCTGTCGGCAGCGGAGATCGCCACCACGGTGACGTTTTTGTCGAGCATTTACGGCGACGATGTCACCTTCGCGCAAATATGGGCGAACAAAATTGCTTCCAAGGGTAGTATGAAGCAAGGCAGAATCATGGACTTTTTTTTTAAACCTGCGTGACGCAATAAAGTTTACATTTCCGACAAAAACGAATTTTTCGGACTGTTCAACTTTTAGGACTTTTTTTTGGTCCCTGCCAGGTCCGAAAAATCGGCCAGCAACTGTACAGTCAAACTTGAGTATATCGAACTCGCCAAAAAACGTTTATTAGTTCGATATATGGCATAATTCGATATAGGCCTGGTATAGATTTTGATACAAAGGCACATAACTAGAAGAAAAGTACTTTATTAATATCGTGTTCCACAGTAGGGCACGCTTACTTGCATGCCCTACTGTGGAACAAAATAGTCCCGTATTTTTTTCTGTCAACGAATTCGCTGCCTGTGACAGCACGCACGCCTCCACGTTGTGCAACGAGGCCGAGCAGCTGAGGCCGCAACCTTCCACATTCAAGCAATAGCGCTGGACCAACCTAGTGCACTAATCACTTCGGAGGATGTAGGCAATGGGCCGTCGTCGATTTCCATATTGCTGTCACTATGGCTCGTGGTCGGCACGACGTCTGCAATGCAATCCTCTTCCTGTAATTGGCCCATGATGGGGACATCATCGCACTAATGAACTCGTCGAATGTCGATAGCACTCGGGAACTCTGCCAGCTCGTTCCAAACTTCGACGGAAACACCTGCGGTGTCTTCAGTGCTGTCAGAATTTGGGGTGTCATCACCAGGCATGCGGAAGCCAGCATGCCTAAAGCAGTTCTGGATCGTCTCCTTGACATTTGCCCACGATCTACTCAGCACAGAAATAGCTCCGAGCAAGTCGATCTTAAGCTCCCTGCCGACACGAAGGTTCTGCAGCAGCCTCTCCACCAGGCGCTTCCGATAGCCGGCTTTCATTGCACGTATAACACCTTGATCCAGTGGTTGCAGTACAGACGTAGTGTTTGGGGGCAAAAAAAAACTCGGCTCGATGTTGCTGAAGGTTGTACTGCAGTGGTGCAATGAACAATTGTCCACGAGCAGGCACACCTTGCGATTTTCGCCAACCAAATCATCATTCCACGACGATAGCCATCTGCTGAAAAGCTCCCCGGTCATCCACGCTTTTGAGTTTGCTCGGTAGGTAACTGAAAGCGACAGCGCATTTCGAAAACACCGCGGTGTCATGCTTTTCCCGATAACCAGAGGTCGAAGCTTTTTCGATCCGTCTAAATTAGCTGCCAACAGCACGGACACACGAGCTTTGTTTGCCTTGCCGCCGCTTGTCGCCACGACACGCAAGCATCTTGTTTGGCAACATTTGCCAAAATAGAGCGGTTTCCTCCGCATTGAAGATATTGATACAAAGTATCACTACCAGGAAAAACAAGGGAAGCGTGGGCAGAGAAGGAAGACGACGTTGCCTCCACTGCGATCCCCCTCGAGTTGGTACGAGCCATGGCGGTGATCATCATCATTATACGGTGATCGCGGACTCAGGGCCCATTAAAACCCCCCCTATTAAGTTACCTTAATTTGTGTAACAATTTGGTGGAGGTGCTGGGTAGGACGAACCCAAAGACGGGAGCTTCACTACCAGGACTTCGTCGCAGCCGCCGCCTCGCCGGACTTCCACCTTCGCCGATCGTAATGGCCCAAGAGCAGCCATCGAACGCTTTGAGGCCAACTGCGATGCGTTCCGTGGCACCAAACTTCGGCGGGACCTCACGAGAAGACGTCGAAGTGTGGCTCAAGAACTACAAGCGGGTGAGCAGAAGCAATGGCTGGGACTCGAATGAACAGCTCAATCATGTCGTATTCTCGTTAACTGACACCGCCCTTATGTGGTACGAGAACCACGAGGACATGTTCACGACTTGGGAACGTTTTGTTGAAGAAGTGCAGAAGTGCTTCGCTGATTCGGACGCAAAGAAGAAACGCGCGGAGCAGACATTGTCTCAGAGGGCACAGCTTCCAGCAGAAACATGTACGACATACATTGAAGAAATATTGAAGCTGTGCAAGATCGTGAATGAGAGGATGTCTAAAGAAGACACGGTAGGACACGTTCTCAAGGGTATAGCCGAAGACGTGTACAATTTCTTAATTGGGAAAGACTGCTTGAACTCCGTGTCAGACCTGATGAAGCACTGTCGTACCTTTGAATCCCTCAAGATGCGACGAATCTCTCCGAAATTCGGCCGCCTGTCCAACGTCCCCACTGCGGCTAGTGTTGAAACAGTGCCGCCTAACGACCTTGCTTTGACCATACAACAGATCGTTAGAGAAGAGCTGCTTCGATGTCAGCAGAGCTATCATCGCCCCAGCGATTTTCAGGATGGGTACGTAAGCGAACCAGAACGTGTGCGGACTCTTGTTTCTCTTCCACCATGGCAACCATCGATCAACGCAACAGACGCTTATGAATATCAAGGCACACGACAGGCTGGATTCCCCCGTCAACCACCTCCCAACTACGAATGAAGTTTTCGCCCACCTGTTCACCCAACATCGCCTCCCTACAGGGCCCCCGAAGGACGGTACCACTATCCCATGCCTTCCGAGAGGAGTCGTTACTCTGAACAACAACATGCCCCTCGACCAAGTCCGGTATGCTACAACTGTGGTGTCCCGGGTCACATTGCACGTTTTTGTGACCACCGCCCATATAAGCGACAGTCTTGGCACATGTCT